TTTCAAAGACGTGGTAGGGTGGCCTAGTAGTTAAAACATATACTGATCTTGCTGAAAGGCTGGGTTTGATTCCTGATGTGGTCCACCATGATACTGCTGCTAAAATTGCACTGACAGTAGCAGCTTCCAATGAGTTATGAATACACGTAAATCTTGGCCAAACAGAATCATTTCACCAAATCTGTGAGATGTGAATGAAGTGATGTTTAGAAGAACATATCCTACACAAACTGCAACTTGTAAATTCAGTATAATACAGATCTGTAATATTAATGAAACCCATTTTTTTACCTAGCAGATCAGGATCAAGAGGCTTAGTCTCAAACTAAAGTCAATCTGGAATGCAAGATTACCCGTTACCGGGTACGTTTCACTGTACCTAGGTACTTGACTGCAAATGTGGGTGCCCTCTTGTACCTCCAACGCAGGTATCGACACGGCCGTCCACTAGTCCAAGAGTAGTGACAATCAGAACTAGTTTTCAATCACAATCTGGCTTAGTTACATACACCACTAGTCCGAAATGCGCTGCGACCCAGCTGGCCTTGACCAACCATGTCTACCCCTGTAACAGCTGAGTACCCTTCTGTACATAAGGCCGTACCATACGTATCATATCGCAACCTTCGTATCGTGATATGTATCGCATTGCGACCTAGCTGTATCGATTCACCCCTATTTTAATCCTGAGTTTAAGTCTTCAAGCAGATATTCTATACATCAGAGACTGTCTGGAGCAAATTGTCCTTTTGGCTACATTTATTTTTGTCATGAGAACAAAGTTCTAGACTACACAACAAACACTGGATCTGGATCTAATGAAAGAATGTAATGTGGAAAACACTTGTTACTTGGTTAGAATGACTGGACTGGTAGAATTTCCTCCAGGCCACACCCTTGAGTTATTTCTCAACACTAGCATATAAATTCCTCCATTCCTCAAGGCCCCTACATCATGTTAATGCAGTGGAACACACAGAAAAGCCCTTCATTCACTGTTGAATGTTGCACATGGACTGACAACAAACAAACGTTTCAATACGTAATCTTAAATATACAGAGTAACTTTGTTCACTGGACAATTGGGGTGCTTGTTACATTTTTTAAATGCGCTTTCAATAACACAAACTGACCAATGTATCTAATTATCAAGATAATACTGATAACCATGGTAACCCAATACATTAATAAGCCCAAGTTCTTTCCTTCAACAAGCTTTGGATACTTCAGATAATATATTAAAGGATTAAGCTGTCAAAATAAAGCTTCAGCATTCCAGATTCCACCAGGTGAATGCCAGCTAGCTGACTGTACAAGATTTTACAGCAAGGCCACCTAAACAATTCTTGTTTCTCATCAATGGCCAAATCAAAATATCCTCCTTTCCATAAGTTGGGTTTTTTTTCAGACACATTTCTGTTTCTAGTTCGACATCTTCAGTTAGTTTCCATCCTGAAGTTGATTTTTTTATGTTACCTGTCCTGACAACCAGCAATTACATAGGTGATTTATTGTTTAAAGGCCACATAAACATACTTTCTACTAATTCATAAAAAAAATCATTTACCGGTAGTACAATTGCAAAATTGGGTAGGGGTGGTTGTGAAATTGAAAAATAAGAGAATAAAATCTAGATACAACCACCCAAGTGTTTAAAAGAAGTTTTTGATAAGAAACAAGAATTCGGTTATGTGGTCTAATATGGTAGGTTATCATATTGGGAAAGGGCCCAGAAAATACTTTGACTTTCAGGTGTAACATGTATAATACACTATGTACAGATATGGGTTGGTATTGGTAAACAGGCTCAAACATGCTACATTGTATCTACATGATTACTTTGTGAAAATAGATTTTATTGTCTTATTGTAACAGTTGGTAAGGTGTGTCATAAAAATGTCTGGCTGGTTTAGCTAATGAAAACAATTGTTTTTTCAGCCTAGCAACCCCAGATAATGTACCTGTGTACTGGTAATGTTTGGTTATGTATTTATGTAGTTGTGAAGAGAGCAAGAATGCCTAGCTGGCCCTTTCATACAACTCTTATTTATGTTAAGAATTAGGATGAAAGAATAGGCATACATTTCATAGTCCTTATGTAAGAAACAGTGACATAATATGCTTCCCGTCCTCTGGTACATAATACACACACCCAAGAATCCTCAGAATTCTTATCACTTTTTATCAAGTTCATGAAAACAAAATTGTACAAGTCAAAATGATCACTTAATGTTCATTATTTATGTGGTGTCCAGGTAAAACAAGCTTAGCCATTGTTTAATTAACAGGCTTGAACAATATCTCCATAAATGCGCAAACATTTAAATTCCTGAATTTAAACAAAATTAAAACACAGTGTGTTATGTGAGATATCAAAATTGCAAATTGTTTATATAACTGTCATGTCCATCTAAGAAATGCTTCTATTGTTGATTGTCTTTGTAATAGGCAAGTCTTTGTCCACTACGTGGGCATGAATATACAATGTAATCATTGAATGCTACACCATGCATACAGGCATGTGGTGAGGTGAGGTGAAATTGGGTTTAACTTCGCGTCCAAGATTATTGCACTTATATAGCGACATACAGGCATGTGCCAATGCTTCAAACTATCATATTCTTAAACATGCCCTCTCCATGTGGCAGATCTTGGAAGTCACTCTACCTTTGTATAGTTACAGAAAGATATGTAGTTCAAAACATTTTATTTTGCAAAATAAATAGGATCAGGAAAAGTGGAAATTAATAAAAATTTCAATTTCTCTCTTTTGTATTTAGCATGTGATATGAATGTTACGAATTGTACATATCCAGAAATATATAGAAATCACTACTTTTTAGATTTATATCACTTGTCAGATCAGACAGAGAAACAATTTGTAAATTATCTTTTTCATCAGAGAGAATTTGAGGTTTGCAGGTTTTACAAAAAGCATTAAACTGGCATATTCTTTCTTATCAACATTCCAGGAGAGTCTGCAGATGTTTACTAAGAAAACAAAGTCATAAAAAACTGTATTGCATATCATATTGCACAATAATCACTGAAATAGGTCCAGGTGTCGCAAAGTATTAGTTGAGTAATCATGGCTTGTACAGCAGAGTGATGATTTGTACTGAATGCTTCTCACAACAGTAAACAATAGAACACATCAGCAGTGGTCTTTAATGCTTTCAATGCTACTGTCGAACCCACTGGACAGACGCATAGTCGAAAGACACCCCCGAATGAAACTCTCCATAACTGTTTAACGAGTAGGCTTTGCATATATTTTAAGTTACCTTTGGTATACATAAATGCTCAGCTTACAAAATATCAAAACTCTCAGTCGTTTATTAACATAAAAAAGAATACATCGCAAGTTAAAAAAGCATTGACCTAATTTATCAGCACACAACTACCAGAAACGGCCATTGTTGATTTTTGGCACTTCACGTTGAGCAGCATGCAGTCCGATATTTTCTTTATAATTTTATTATTTTTCATATTCATAAAAACAATTCAGCAGGCTAAAGGTTAAACTGAAGATTTGGTTCCATAAGTTTCGCTCGTTAAATGTTTTTGTCATTTACCTTAGTTATGAACTTAAGGTACAAAACAAGCATCAAGACGTAAAAGATGAAAAACCAATATCTAAAAGTATTTAAAAGGCTGTTTATTCACGTGGAAAATGCTCATGTTTATATGCTGTCAGAATAAGTAAGAATAAATTTTATCAGACTGACTAAAGCCTTCCTAGAAATGTGTTTACCATATTTGACATAATAAGCGCCCAGGGCGCTCTCAAAATTAGAAATAGGGGGCTCTTATTAGAATATTATTTTGTGAAAAACAACAGAGTTCAATGAGCGTAAATTTCGTGGTTTATGCGGAAATGTTTATATACAACAGATATATTTTCCAGAATTTAATTGCCCATAATTAAGGGTGCACATAGCAAACGTATTATGCACGAATAAACAGTATTGTGTACATTTATCAATCGGAAGGGGTGCTAATTGGGATTGTTCATTAGCCAGTATATTAGCAAATATCGCCGTGGGCGCTTATTAGAGCGGGGCGCTTATTACGTCGAATACGGTACGTCAAAACCAATCTTTGCAAAGAAACTAAATGCACCAACTGAAGACAAGCAGGTCTATAGATTTCAACTTCTTTATTCTTACAAGTGAACTCTGTATTAATTGACACTACAGCTTCAGAAATGCAACTAACATATTATGCATTAACTGTAAAAATAATTTAAAATTACATTTTGGATTGTCATATCGCCATTTTTTAACAAGAGGCATCTCCTCAATCAGAAAACCCACAGCTGTGAGACATAATTTGTACTCTATGTCTGTAGTGCATTTGAGTAAACTCTTGTTAAACTGTCATGTCATACAAGACTTTCGTGTCATTGAGGCTTGAGATTTGTTCTGTTAAGGCTTTGGCAACCACCACAATCATGAACATGTCACCTCGATTTACGTGATACTGAATGTATCCTTGTATTGTTGGATACAAGCATACCACACATCCATGCTAGAGAGTACTGTAAATGACAGCATATCAGAACCGAACACATCACACATCAGATTACAGGAACAATGTCAAGCCGAAACAGTTACCATTTCCTTTCTTGATAACATCATTCCAGAGGCTTGTTATTATTTTAGGCAAGATCTGAGTATATATACCACAGTCAGAGACAGGTTACAAATCAACTGAGTCCACATTGTAATTCCAAACCAAACAGGCTTCTCTAACAGAAGAAGGGCAAATGTGGCGAGCAATTACAAACGATCGACTGTTAGTCTCGTCTCATTCTTCGTGTTACACCCCAACCCATTCAGTGTAAACAGGGAAACCTAAAGTTTAAATACTGTAAATACATCCGAGTTCAACACTGGATGTGGCGCTCTTTGCGACCGATATGCCCGCCAGGCCTCGAACTAGGAAGTGAGATGCATTTGACAGATTGGCTACAACCCAAAACATCATATGTCACTTACCAGTATTCTATTTTCGAGCTTTTCAGGGCGCACTTCCTGTCTGACCATTCGCTTAATGCTGAATTTCATGCGTCTGTCAACCACATCGCGAATACTGTCTGGAATACATAAATATTTTGAGGGTAATTAAAATAATTGTAGGTGAAATACTGTCTTGTAATTCAGCAGGTGTCTGCTCGAATACACAGGAAGTGGTTGAAAGCGTTAAACGACATGATATTGTGGAGAATCTTGACGGGGGAACCCTCCGTCACTTACCTTGTATGTCACGAGGAATATTGTTTACAGCTGCCATTTTGGTTAGAGGAAAGGTTCATTAGTATCCTAGGGTTATTGTTGGGTTAATCCACTGACACGTCTCGCGGTGAGCCCAGACTAAACCTCCCCTACTTGCAGAGGGAGTGTCCCTCTCTCGCTGTACGCCATTACTCTAAGGGAAGTGTTGATGTGACGTCACGTGGGTAGGAGAGAATCCGTGACGTCACGCACTTCCGCATTTGAGGACAGGCTGAGCAGGAATAAAAGACATATCTCTCTCTCTCTCTCTCTCTCTCTCTCTCTCTCTCTCTCAGATATAATTCATACAATTCTGTATTAGTTAAAAAAATGTTCACTCTTATAAAAAGATAAAGTATGTGTATTGGTTAAGGTAACTATGACATTTTTACTTAGATCAGTTTAATCTATTCCGCGTTTCGCCTTCAATGACATTAACAAGCGTTTCTTTCATATGACCAGGTGTTAAATACATATAAGTCAATTAATTAAAGATGTGTTTCTGGGTTTAACTGCATTCCTTGTAACTCAGTGGCCGCTGAAGGTTTATGACTGGCAAAGATTGCAATATTTGATTACACAAGTTACAGAAAGACGCTATCTCAGGGGCACACAGGTATCTGTTTGCCGGCACATCGTGTAGCGAACCTGTCAATGTGTGTGTGGGCACAGCGTAGAGAATATCTACAAAGGTACACACACACTCAGTCTCAACATATGCACGTAAATAATTATTTAAGTCCGTGGTGTCAGTCGTCCCATGTACTGATGTCTGTTAATGGCAATTACCTTCCACTTGTATGGCGATGTGTCGGAAGATGTAATTAAATTGCAATTACGCGTGAGATAAGACTTAGCGCTCGTCACATAGTGGAGGCCCCGACGAACAAGATCACCGGATTAGTTGCACGCGGGTCACGTGACCCGCTGAAGTAACACAACTATTCAAACCCCTTGCAAAATAAACACATGTAATACACTTTACACTTCGTCCGGTTTAGGGTGACATTTAAAGGCACGGTCTCGTTTAGATTTGTCACATGTAAATAGGTTTTGTATGCACGAGGTAGACTGACATTTAGTGCAAGAAATATAAAAATATATATCTACAAAATAAAATTTAAAAATTCCAATTGGTGCCAGTATTCGAAATAAGCGCCTGCCCGTGGGCCCGTGGTAGGTAGATCGCATATCGGGCCCGTAGTATCCAATTTTATAGGTCCTTATGGCCTATCTATCTATCTATCTATCTATCTATCTACTGATAGATAGAGAATATATAGATTATAGATAGATAGATATATAGATAAATACTAACAGATAGATAGATAGATAGATAGATAGATAGATAAAATTATCGTCGTACTTTCAATGTGACTGCATGAACGATATTGGGTAAAATTATTTCCCCTGTTTGCCGACTTCCTATGGGTATTAAAAAGCCACAGTTCCTCCCCAATATACCTATACCTGTCGTTTTAAAATTTGCTCATGTATGCAATTGTTGTTACTGTTAATCCTCTACTGTTAATCCTCCACCTACTGTATATATTCTGTACTATGTCCCTCATTCAGTCTTGCTTGACAACGGTATAAGGATCTATACCGAAACGTCGCTTTTTACAGTATTAAAGAAATTGTTATCCATAAAGTTGTGTCTATCTAACCTGTCGTTTGTTATACTATTGATGTAACGAGGATCGGGTGGTTAGCGGTGTGCGACCTGTACATGGCTCTATGGCATTATATACCGCGACGGAGTAGATCATTCCAACCACCTGAGACCGCCTCCGTGGTCTAGTGGTAGAGCGTCCGCCCGGAGAGCGGAAGGTCCAGGGTTCGATCCCGGGCCGCGTCATACAAAAAGATGTTAAAAGATTGTACTTGTTGTTACCCTGTCTGTCGCTCGGCATTAAGGGGCTAAAACAAGGACTGGTCGGCTCGGAGTCAGTATACTGTGTCTGAGTGGGGTATTCATGTTAAACTGCGGCATGGTATCTCAGTGTGCTAGCACTATAAATCGGCATCAGTCCGGACTAGTACAAGCAGCCACACACACACATACACGTGCATGCACGTCGCTATATAAGTGCAATAATCTTGGACGCGACGTTAAACCCAATTTCACCTCACCTCCAACCACCTGTTTGCGGGGTCTAGGCTCGATGATGATGATGATCAATCACTGGATTGTCTGGTCCAGCCTCGATTACTTACAGACCGCCGTCATATAGCTGGAATATTGCTGAGTGCGGCGTAAAACAACAAACCAACCATGCAACCAACCAACAATAAGTGGCGACAAACCCCTGCTCATTTCTAAGCCAACTGTTTGCCTCGCTGTGTTTATTATCAGTGTTTGACTGAATGTAGTTTCACGCCACACACAGCAATATTTCAGCTATGGAGGTGGCCTGTTAATAATCGAGTCTGGACCTGACAATCCAGTGATTGACAGCAGGAGAAAGGCCAGGCCACCGGACCACCTGATCCCCATTTTAGTTGGAATATTGCTGAGTGCGTCATAAAACAACAAACCAAACCATTATTACTATTATATTTATTTTTATTTCATTTTTATTATTATTATTTGTGTACTTATACAAATAACCTCCTGCGATGTAACTCTCAGGAGGTCACCCATCCAACTCTTCGGCGACCGACGTCGCGTCACACCACCTTGCACAGGACCACGTGACACCACACTGTATCATTAATATACCTGTTGTTGCCTCCAGTTAGTGAGTGAGTTGGGTTGACGAAGCTTTTAACAGTATTTCAGGTATACTATATGGTGTGTCAGCTTAACACGCGAAGAAAGCCCATACACCAGTGCTAATGTGTGATTCGAATCCACGATTACAAGATTCTTGCATTCTATGCATCGGTTGAAATTCATGGTCAGGATCTAATTCTTACATAACACTGTGGGGAATCGAACCATCGGTGTGACGTGCTAACGCTTTAACCACTAGGCTACCCCAGCGCCCCTCGTTATAACACGATCAGGATGACTCGTAAGGCAGCACACAACACTAACATCTAGTCTCTGAAATGAACATATCGTACAGAAAAAAACAGTTGTTCAATTATCTTAATAGAAATATGATAAAAGGGAGCCCAGAGACGCTCTTCATTTTCAGATACTGCTGTAATCTAGACTTGCCAAACATTATAGACTTGCATGGGCTATATTTGATATATATTTGAACGCTGGCTGGTGTATCAAGCCCCCTACGCTGCCGGGGCACAGTGACAGGCGAGGCAGGAACGAGGGTTGCAGACTGTATGGACAATTAATGTTCAAACTCACTCACACAACCATTCACCCCAATTCAATTATCATAATCAAGAACATGCCACGGTAACGGGTGACGGGTTTGGCCGAATCCCACAACTACAAAAAACACACTGTACAAGTTGACATGAGTATATTACGAGCGCTTCATACAGTTTTGTATGCCCGCGGTTTGTGGATTCTTTTCTCAAATGCAGATAGTTTCCGGTAACGATAGCACAAGAACCTGAATTTATCATTAAAACTCTGAAAATGTATGCCTTTTTTTCACAACCAAACACTCCTCATTATACATATAAACAGGTAGAATAGGTGAATAGGTCTTCAGCGACCCATGCTTGCCGTAAAAGGCGGTTATGCTTGTGGTACACAGAAAAAACGATCGTTTAGCGATTAAACGGTAAACTAAACGGCAAAATGTCTCCACTTTTAAAACGCGTTTAGCGTTTTGTTTCTGAACACTCCTTGTTAGTTTCTAAACACCAACGTTTAAGTTTCTAAATATGCATGTTTAGTTACTAAACACCTTGTATTAAACGCTATGCGTTTAGAAAACTAAACGCTGAAATGTCTCCACTTTTAAAACGCGTTTAGCGTTTAGGCCCGTTTAGTGCCTAAACGGTCGCCTGTATAACTGAATTAAGCTAGAATCAATATCATATGATGTCTTCATACCTATAAAAAGTACACAACTGGGATATACACATTTTTAACAACAGAAATGTAGAATTAAACATTTTATTTTCCCATTAGGAAACATGTCAATCTAGTCTAGTCAATCATGCATGCTTCAACTTTCTTCAAGAAGTGAACACAATCTTTGGTTTTTGAACCAAAGGTTTCCTTGAAAAAGAGTTCTTGCATAACGCCAAACATCCGTGCATACTGTCTCGGTAATCCAGCCAAGCTCCATAGTATATGGCCAGCATCTGGACCACTGCCTTCCTGAAGTTCCAGGAAGGTTTAGCCCGTCGGCGTGTATGATTGCCTCAGTTATCCGGTTGTCCTTTACAAAGATCCGAAGCATTGGCCCTACTGGCAACTTTGTTTTCTCGGCTTCCTCGTCAATTTGTTTAGGAGACAACTCCTGCAACCAACATATATGCGTGATAAAATATGATGATAATAATAATAATAAAAATAAAAATAAAAATAAAAATAAAAATAATAATATCATATTTAATATTGCTATTATTTTTGTCATTACATTTATAAATCAGTATAGATCTAATAAAGAAAAGAATAACCTTAATCAATACACGCCCTGATCTAAAAAAAATACTACCGCCCCCCAGCAATTACCTTTAATCAAGTCTTACAAATAACTCCTTACATGCCGAAAATGTCTAATCTTTGTAAAATGAAATAGAATAGACAAAAGACGGTGAAAGGGTTAAAGACACCTTTGATTTTTTCCAATATAGAGGTGCTTTTCGCTCCTCGGCCCCTGTCATATCCTGTTTCCCTCACCATATAGCGAAAAGCCTCAATATCTTCCATTAGTTCCTGCAAAAGTCAAAGCATGAAATTATTTCTAAATGGACGTTCAATAATTAAAATGAATAGAGATCATTTCCAATATAAAGTTTTAGTAATTTTGCTAATCTAAAATAATGTGTTTCAGTCTTACATCAGCTTCGTCAGTGGGGGGCATGATTTCCTTCACGGCGTTGAATAAATCATTTGTTGATTTTTCCACTGACCTCCAAATTTCCCCACCTTTCATTAATTTGATCTCCATGAAAATCTGCAATATATGAAATAATAGATGTAGAATACGAGCAAGATGCTGCAGTGCATGTCACACCAACGTTTCGGTCATGTTTGTATCGGACAAGGTGTTGTTCATAGTTTAAAGGATTACTTGTGGCCTAGAAACACATTGAACAAGTAAAATTATCCATTCTTTCCATAACATAAGAATTAGGACAGGCAAAAACAAGTTTTTCTGTGATAGACCTTCAAGACCATGCACCCCACCAGAGAAGAAAACATTCCACAAGTAGCAACACGGCTGCTTTCTTAATCAACGTCAAATGCATTGTATTTACAAAAACATGTATGTAAATCTTCATTCTACATATCCCTACATCGTGATGATTCAATTTATTGCCTTAGATGTTGACCAAATATATGTTTTAACTGCAAAAAAAGAAAATAGAAAAAAATCACCTGGAAGATCCTCACTGGTGAAAGATGGCGTCTCCGTCAAGGGTAAAAGGACGCGTCGAAAGGGCAAGGTCACAGGCGGGATAACTCTTAATCTACACATTAGTCGTTTAGAAACTAAACAGGTGATGAACCTTTAAATCATACATGACGAATGTGTCCAAAACTATTTATTCACATTAGTTTTTGTTAAAATAGAGACAGTACCACTTGTTTCATTAATATAATAACTTCTGGTTTATTTTGTATATATAAACGATATGTGTTTAGAAACTAAACCACTATGTTCATATACATATAGAAACTAAACTATGACGCTTAGAAACTAAACATGCATGTTTAATCAAACTAAATACACTTCGTTTAGAATGGTGGCGTTAAAAATTCAAACTAATTTTATAACAGCTACACAATAGAAAATGCAGTTGTAGAAGTCCACAGTATGTTAAGATATGTGTTGGGTTATTTGTATGGTCACTGAGAATATGTTTTTATACTGGGATCTATCTGTTACTTTAATCACCCAAGAAAGAGTAAAATCGTAAAGATTTCAGTGAACAGGTTATATTTCCGACAACTATATCCATAGTATTTCCTCTATTATTAATACTTTGTTAATTTGAAAAAAGTTCTTTAAGGCAAATATTTGCTGTATATGTGTATTAAACAGTAAATGTTTAATATCTAAACGGTACCGAGTAAGGCGACTAAATGGAAATTGTTTAGATATTAAACGTGAACGATTTGTTTAGTTACCTAAACGATCTAAACACCCATTTTTTACAGTGTAAGAGGCGACTAACTGGATCGGGTGCTCAGTGAGTGAGTGAGTTAATATTTAACGTCACATCGGCAATATTGCAGCCATATCGTCGGGTGCTCAGGCTCGCTGACTAGCATGGTTGATGCATGCGTGGATGGTTTGCGGGATACACGTACATTGTCTTGTACAAGAATCTACACGGGATGGAGTCGCATATGATGCGCCGTATTAATGATACCGATAATTCATTAATGGATATCACAAACTCAAAGTTTAGATATCAATAAATGTGTCTACCGATATCACAAATTCGACTTGTAAATATCAATAAATAGAACTGGAGATATAAAACATGAATAAGCGATAGCACAAATATATGAGTATAGAGGTGTTTTTGCCAGGAAATATTTCAAATTCTGAAAAGAAATGCTAACTTTGACATGAAAACTGTTGCTAGTGGCGGTTTTGTAAAACAAAACTGTACAATCGACTGTTACTTTAGAATTACTTATAACATTCACAGTTGGACAAGTTCAATTATAGGGGCCTACGTTCAAATACCGACCAAACCGAGTTTCGACAGCATCACCGGAAGCACAGAGGTCGAAAAAGCGATCACATGCAGGGAGCAGCTTTCAGTGACTGTAAAACCTCTGTAATATTTATGATCTTGTCATTATATTTTCTCAACGAAAGTAGCACTTCCGTTTCTTTCGATGTGTGATACATTTTGTTCGCATTGACTTATTTTCGGGGAGAATTGTGTGTTCCAATAATTGAAAGGGGTTTAGCAATTGGTAGAACATTTCTAGTGAACACGGAAATGACAATCACTCTAAACATCTTTACTTTTCTGGTGTCCCCCGCCGTGATACTGCTGGAATATTTCTAAAAGCGGCGTAAAACATAACTCACTCATCTTTACTTACAAAGCTGGTTCCCCACAACCTACGCGCAAGCACACGCACGAGCAGAGCACCACAAACCCCATTGTTCTGTCGAAGATGTGACAAGGCAGTGACAAAGTCATGATGATTTCACGCCAAATCATCAGGCTCTTTTGAAACTTTTAAAGTATCATGTTCACGATTTTGTGTCGTATATATCTCATCTGTCACCGTGGCAAATAATGGCACCCGTGACAATCGCTGTGTGTCGGGGTACATCACTATCTGCACTGAAGCGTGCATGTCGTAAAGATCAGTATCGCATTACAGTGATACGGGAAAGAGAGAAAGACGTCTCATTCCTGACATGCGCAGACCGTTGGTGAACAGCTGTAAAAACACTCATTGTGTCACTCTGTTATCTTTGTTAATGATGCAAGTGACACCTCATGGAAAGACATGTGTTCCATTCGAAACACACCAACAGCCCGCATTGACAGCATCACTATCAAATTGCAGGATGATATTATATATATCAGCTCGAGGAATTATTAACATATTTTACATAAAGTTTTGTCTTTGGACTGTAAAGCAGCTTGATTCCTGAGAGTTTCTAGGGCTTCGGTCCTGCCCCACACTGAAGCACATGTTCGAAATGTGCCTGTTCACCCAGCAGTGAGTGGGTACCCGGTCGTATGAGATGGTAATGTGGTTGTTAACCTTCTAGCACCTCACAGGCAGCTTGGGTTGTATACTCCCCAGGGTGCTGAGAATGAAAATCGAGTGCTCACTGATCCATTGACCGGGGTAATAATAGTGTAGCGCTATGAGCATCCACTTGGCGAATGGAATCTGGCGCATTATAAATGCACTTATTATCATTTAAGTATGTTTTTCACATTAACGCCTATAGGCTGGAAAGTTTAGTCTGAGATTGAATTACTCGTTAGTAGGTTTACTGACATAATTTGTTTATGCGCCATTTTGAGACCTTGATTTATTAATGTAAAGTCTCGTAGTGGACATTGGAGTTACAGATCAAAACCTGCCCACTTATGGTATGAACTGACCCGTGAAGATTCGGGATAGAAGAGGTCTTCAGCTACCTATGCTTGTCGTAAGAGGCGACTAACGGGATCGGGTGGTCAGGCTCGCTGACTTGGATGATGCATGTCATCGTATCCCAATTGCGTAGATCGATGCTCATGATGTCAATGACTGGATTGTCTGGTCTATATATACTCGATGATTTACAGACCGCCGTTATATAGCTGGAATATTACTGAGTGCGGCGTTAAACAAGAAACAAACACCATATCCAACTTGTTGCCGGTAGTGATGGTTGTCTCCCTTTTGTTACGCGGTCCATTGGTTATACAATGGGAGGAAGGGATTAACCAGGAAACTGAGGCAACACCCTACCTCTTAATGGAACAGTCCAGACTTCACATAAGTCTATATATATATCTATGCAACGCGAAAGACAAGTTTTGATGTTTAGGTTTACAAAATGATTGTTGAGATCAATCATGAAAAATGTTAATATTCAGAATAGACCACCCCCCCCACCCCCCCCCCCCCACCCCCCCCCCCCCCCCCCCCACCCCACCCCAATAATTATGTTTGTCCTAAAGGGCAGCTGATTGCATATTGTATCGGGTGGTCGTGTCTGTCACCCAGCCCCTGAAACAAATATATCCAACTGCAGCCCATGCAAGTCTATAATATTTTGCAAGTCTGGATTACTGCAGTTTCCTCTTGGCTCCTTTTTTAATTATATTTTATTACAATACTTTAACATCTGTTTGTATGTAATAAAACACTCTATTATGATGTTGTTGCAACTTCAAACATACGACAAATTCGTCGAACTCTTTCTACTCGACTTGTTTAATACACCTTGCCACTACAGGGGTCGGCCTAGACATGCAAAAGTACATAAGGTAAAGTTTATTAGGTCATATCATAATTTCAAAATTATATAAATAATATGAACAAGTTGTCATTTAATGTCCGCATATCTAGTCTTACTTATTATTAATTACTATAATACCCATGATGTTTACCATACTGTACGACCCGTGAAGATCCGGGGTAGAATAGGTCTTCAGCCACCCCGGTTAGTATGCTTGCCGTAAAAGGCGACTATATTTGCTTATTGTAAGAGACGACTAACGGGATCGGGTGGTCAGGTTCGCTGACTTGGTTGAAGCCTGTCATCGATCTCAATTGCGTGAATCGATGCTCATGTTGTCAATCACTGGATTGCCTGGTCCAGACTCGATTATTTTACAGACCACAGTCATATAGCTGGAATGGGGCGTTAAAAACAAACACACATACAAACAAACAAACAAACCACAATGTACAGACTTGGAGCAAGGCTAGGGTCGGCCTGGAACTGGTGCCTCTTCCCAGATACAGTGTCCAGCTAGTCTATAAATATCCCTCCCCGGTGACACCCGAGCTGGGTTCTCAGTTATTATGGATTTGTCAGCGGCATCACTTAACCCTTTAACTACAAGATCTTTATCAACAGGTGGAGGATGACATTGTCAAACAAACGCACTGCGCATGTCAGGAATGTGATGCTTATTTTTCAGTTTACTGAATACGATACTGATCTTTACGACTGGTTTCGAAGCAGATTGCGACGCGCCCCCGCTGTCTCTGACACACTGAGAATGCCAAGGATGCCTTTATCTGCCTCAGTGGCAGATATACGACATGATATCATTCTTTAAAAACAAACAACCAATTTTGCTGCATTGAATTTTAAAGTTATTATGACTCGTACTAGGATGAATTAAATATATGGGTGACCAGTTGCCCTTATGAGCAACCACAGCCAGTTATCTGAAATTAAGACTTTTAACAAATTATACGCTAAAACTGCTTGTTGATCAGTTAAGATATTGTGATCAATAAAGAGTTAACAGTATATTGAAACGGCACGATAAGGTCCATTTTGGCCCACTGGAAATGATACATAATGATAATATGAAAGGTTTTGAAATATCGTTATGAAACTTAACGGACATGAACGTACATAACTGCCACCTGAACCAGCCCACGGACGTATATACTTCTTTGACCAGCCTAATTCTTCTTGCGCTTTCTGGTTTTAGAAGTTTGACACGATGAAGTAACATTCGTTAGAAATGAGAGAAGGAAAAGCTAGGCCATTTCGGTGATTTTCAGGCAGTCGACGTCGCGGTGGTAGAAGGATTATATAATTAATATGCATTTCAGTAACAGTTCATGTCACTGGGGTTTTCGAAAAAGGAGGGGTGTAGTGGTAGGTTGTTACTAGGAATCCACCCCTGTATCCGTCACTTAGTTTACAAAAAAAAGCCGAGCACCAAACACTCCAACGTCAACGTCTGTGGATACGTGATGGTGGGCGTGCTACTCCAGTGCGGAAAATGTCCCGATCCAGGAAGATTCTGTTTTGTAATAAAACTTTCAGCAGGTCAGGAATGTGTCATCAGCAGAAATCCCAGATTTCCTTACCCATTGCCGAACTTGGCACAACGTAAACAAACAACTTTGGTGCCTAGTCAGTTTAAGAAGAATTAAATTTGCATCACAAGAGAATATCATGTACTGGTCAAAATTGACCTACTGTCTAAAAAAACGTGACAGGCACCAGCTGAAAACAGGACAGAGCTATACAGTGGACGAGCTAAGGGAGGGGTTTGATTACTTGATTTTCCCATATTTATTGCGATCTTTCATAGAATTTCATTTCGGACAGTACGTGACGGGCTGAACTGCCACGGAGAAGTACTATGATATATATATAACTACATGTATAACACTTCTTTATGTACGAATGACAATCCAAATGAGACCAAATAATTTAAGAAACTTCTAAGGTTTTGTGTTTCTGCAAACATATATTTTATTTGTATTTCTTAAAGCAACAAGCGACTTATAAATACCCATGCAGCTATTTTTCAAATTAATCACAGACCTATATCAGACCCGAAGGAGGGTTTCTCAGTATGTGTGGTGAGGGTGGGGTGGAGTGGAGGGGTGTGCTGCTCTACTTCCTCCCCTCCCCTCTCTACCCCACCACCCTACCCCAGCCCACCCCACCCCACCCACCACCTCCAACCCTCCTCCCACGGGCCTTATATATTTATACGGCATCAGCGCAAGAGGGCGCTGTGATATTTTTTGCCATTGACCTGTGACCTGCACGTGGAACCGCAGAATAAAAATCCCACTTGTTGGAGACGAGGCTGGAAGAGATAGCAGAGACATCAAGTAAGGTCAACGCAACAGAAATACAGGCAGGTAAGCTTAGCGTCTTTCCCGATTTATTGTCCATTATTGTTTATTGGAATTGTTTTACCAAGACTTTATTTAGACTTTGTTTAGTCTTGAAATTTGTTGACCCAAATGACGTTACACAGATAGGCGTTCGATTTGTTCATTTCCGACATTGACTATTTGGTGTTGACAGCGACAATCGTTTACGCTTGTAGACCAAGAATAACATGCAAGTTAGTAGCCAGTGCTGTCGCTAATATACTTGTGCCGTGTTGTAGTCTATAGGCCCATACATTTTGGAGCACTGTCATTAATAATGTAGAATAAGGCTCGATTAGCCAATCAACCTCAACGCTAGCCTAGATGGATTCCAGTATTTGTGACATGTGTTACACAAACAGCGTATTCAGTCATGTGTTTTAGTAATAAGACGAAACTAGTTAAACTTTAACTCGATAGCCATGCCAATTTCATCTCTCGTCTTTGAGCGTTTGATCAAATCAGGGCATCTAGAAGTTGAGCCTGAAATGAAGAATGTTACATACAGTTAATTCGGATTCTAGAGTAACATTGATGACTAGGCCTATTGAAAAACGTATTTTTAATCAAATGTGTGATGAAATATGGACAGTCTCGTGTGTTGCCTCAGGTTGTTGAAATTTAGGTGAATGCATATTTGTAACATTTGCATGTAAAATTGTAGTTTGGTCAATAATATCTTCTTGAACAGACTTTCTTTCGAAAACAAGCTTTATTTTAAGAAATTGCAGTAGATTCTATGTATGATATATACCCCATGGTTTTCTGAAAATATTTCTTGTTTCACTATAGAACCGTTAACCATAATATAGAAAAAAATAGACACGTTATTGAATCCTTGTATCTGCAACAGAAACGTTACCAAATTGTGAACCATGCAAACAGACATGTTACACCCTTGCATTTGTCAATATTTAAACTTATCCTATCTCACACTATGCATTTCTTCCTTTCAATCATATGTGGAAATGTGCTTGAACAGTTTCCAGCTTCTAAAAAGCATCAACATTGTCACCACCCAAACAAATAGTTCATGCACTGTCATCCTGTGCATAGTGACCTACACAATCTGATCACTTGAATACCCCTGCCATACCATTCTTTCTCATCACCACACCATGGAGACATGCACTGAGATTTCAGAGAGTACATTTTTTATTTTTTTCGTGGATTTCCCTCCAACATTGAATGGACTTTACTTTAATGAATACGGAAGAGAAACATCGCCTGTCCTCACGGTCTACGCTGTAGTGGCCGTTGCAGTACTGACACGCATTGTTCCCTGAGAGCCTATCTTACAGAAAAATCCGTCAACATTTATCTTAACAAGTGGCACAGTCCGGAAATTGACAGGCACATGAAATCTAAGGACTCTGAACATGGGCCGTCTTCTGCTTACAAATCTAAGAAGTCTGCTGTCCCTGCTTCTGTTACAAAGGCCAAACTGCTTGTGGAATCCACCCTGCTTTGTCAATCATGATGGTCCCAGAAGGCAGGATATCAGCTGAGTGGATGAAGGGATCATTGCAGGAGGCGGTGGCACTAACCTTAACATTGCCCTTGTCACCTTCGGACAATAGGCTGATCGGCTACAGACTCTATAATTTCCTGTGGAAGATTCCAGCACACATGGATTGTCTAAGAATACTAGTGCTCCCGACCATGATGTTGATTTGGTCACCTTTGGTCGAAAGTGTTCACTTACTTCCTCTGCTGTGGATGATCATGGTTTGGCTCATCTGGATACCACTGTTGGTGGACGCTCCCTTTGCTTTCCACTATCCTCTCAGCAACTGAGGCCATTACTACTTTGATTCCTCACGCTTAGTCTCCTGAAGAGGCTTTTATTAGAGGATCTGTTGTGATGATTCAGAGTATGATTGTGATGATCTTGCACCTCTCCCACATCATGCCGGATGAGCCACAGCCCTTCAATGTCAGAGTGTCCTTCAACAATGTCAGTGGGACAATCTCTTTACGGCGTGTCTGTACCAGCTGCTACGGTCAACTCAGTCCCTCTTCGTGAACCAGATTCAAGAGATTGTGCAGGATGTTAACATGACGCCCATCTCCAGGTGTCTGTCGATCCCGTGAAGTCATCTACCTCCAAGGATGTTGGTGTGTCTGACAAGGCAGGCGACTCGTCCTCTAAGTGACTTGCATCAGCTTCGGGGCGACTGGGAACTTCATCCCCCAGCTGTACCATTCGTAGACTCTCCTGTATTCGGAAGACTCAATCATTGCAGCAAATTGGTCCATCACCACTACCAATGGATGGTGCTCCCGTTTGGGCAGCCACTTCTACACCAATGGCAACAGCTACTCGATCTTCTGACTTCCAACGCAAGCCCTCACACAGAGGGGTCAACTTCAGCTTCGAGTGTTCCAGTATTTCCTAAAGCCTTACCTCCAGAGCAATGATTGCCAGGTCCTGATCTTCCTGCCGATATCTCTACATCCACATCTTCTGTGGTGGTTGGTCACATCGAATGTTGGTGCCAGAGTCTCTTAGCGACCGTTCTTCCCATCTTAACACCTTCGTCGAAACATAGACTGTGGGTTGGGGAGCGCACTTCCGCTATCTTCAGGTGGCAGGGCTCTGGTCTGTCGAAACACCATAACCACCACTTATTTCTATTATGTGGTCCTAGAAGTGTGTACAATCGACATTGCAGTTATGACAATTCCTATTGTCCTTAAGAATGGTCACAAAAGAATAATGGCAATGCTAGCGTATGTACATATATCAATCAGGTAGTAGGTGTAGAAAGGGGTTGGTAAATGTAATGAATAACAAAAAGCCAGGCCTCAAAGTTGTGACTAAAACTGTCCCCATGCAACCTAAATTTTGATTTGTCTACTGTCTAAAATTCAGAGGTCGCCAAATGACTACCTTGAAAAATATCTTGTGGCGACTAAATTCTACTGCTACATATATGTAGACAACAAAAATAAACATTTCTGCTACTAATTGTACTCACAAATAATTCCTCCTAAAGTCAACAATGAACCTAAATACATAAATATTAATTTTATTTTCGTTGATAGTTTATTGGATAAGCTAGGATATACCTATATAATCTAGTAACATAAAATGCATCACTGTTCGAGTCAAAAATACCCAAACTTAAGTACAGTTTCCACTAATATACAATAATAGTTATTTGATAAAGATAATTGCAAATGCTTTTGGCTATCTTCACTATTGGCTTGACTTCTTAATTTTATCACTGAATTTTACCACTGGCTACCTGGAAAAAAATACTTGTAGCCACATGGCTTCTTGGTAAAAATGTTAACTTTGAGTCCTGAAAGGAAACCTGATTGTATGCGAGTTGACATTGGCTAGAAAGTACAGACGGTTTAGTTGACATGGCCATTGCTGCTTTGACAACTACCAAAGTAACAAGTAGAATACAAGTTATTAACTGGTGAAAACATGTCAAGCATTGCCCAAGTTTGAGGACTATAAAGTCTTTCCTCGGGTATTACCTCATTCTCTTCCCACAGTGGACATCCTAATAGTAATAGGTAAAATTAGGTATGGACAGGGATATATAGTACCACAAAGGATTTCTCTCCGTCCGTCCGTCCGTCCGTCCTTCTAGGACATTTTTCGTGTGTGACCTATGACTTGAAAACTACTGCATAAATTCTTTTCAAACTTGGTGAACACTTTTTATACTTCTAGGAGAGGTGCAGTGCAAGGTGTGATTTCATTATCATGATTATTTGGATATTCTAACAAAATACATTTTTTTTCAGTATTTTTACTTAGCATGCTTAGAATTATTTTACTCAAACATTAGTGCGACCTATTACTTGAAAACTACTTCATTCTTTTCAAATTTAGGTAACAGTTTCCATGCAAATAGAAGAGGTGCAGTACAAAGTTTGGTTTTGATAAGGGATTTTCTGAGAAAATGTTGCTGTTTTCATGTTTTGAACTTAGAAATGTTGATGTATGTCAGGGTATTAGTGACCCTGCTCATTTTTTTACCTTGTTTTCTTGTGTACTATCCAGCATCGCTCTATTGAAGTTAATGAAATTATATGTCTTTTACTATTCAACCCCATGTAGATGATGGGTGATATTAAAAAAGTAGTACTATTTTGTTATCAGAACTGATCACATTCTAAGTCACAATTGTATGTAGGAAGTTACTTCCAAACCTGTGAAGTATAGCCACATAGGATGTCAGCTGTCAAAAACTGAAGATGTGTTACAGTGAATTAACTTAGAAAGTTTTGTGATTTCATATTTAGTTGACAAACCTTTGGCCATATTACATGTACTGTATCCATTAGTATTTGAACTTTGTGTTAACCTGAGTTACATAATGGGTTTTGTATTGCTGAGTTCAGCAGTCCACAGTTCAGTCACTCTAGATATGATTATCTTCTAAGACACTGTGTATACTGACAATTAATGAAGCAGCCATCCACCTGTAAGGGAGGCTTAGTGTGAATGCTTAGTGAGACAATCTCCACAATTGTTTTTCTCAACCAAGTGTTTGTGATATGTTTTAGACCTGTGAAGACACAGGTAGAATAGGTCTTCAGCAACCCATGCTTGCCGTAAAAGGTGACTATGCTTGTCGTAAGAGGTGACTAACGTCATTGGGTGGTCAAGTGCACTGACTTGTTTGATGCACGTCATCAATCTCAATTGCCCGGATCGATGCTCATGATGTCAATCACTGGATTGTCTGGTCTAGACTCGATTATTTTACAGACCGCCGTCATATAGCTGGAATGTGGCATTAAACAACAAACAAACAAACAAACCATAATGTACAGACTTTGAGCAAGGCTAGGGTCGGCCTGGAACTGGTGCCTCTTCCCAGATAACGGGATTGGGTGGTCAGGCTTGCTGACTTGGTTGAAGCATGTCATCGATCCAAATTGTGTGGATCGATGCTCATGATGTCCATCCTTGGATTGTCTTGTCCAGGCTCGATTATTTACAGACTGCCGTAAAATAG